GATAAGGAGCTTGCAATCTGGGGTTCAAAGAATGGGGGCGTGAACTTCCACATGGCATGTTTAAGTCTTTAAGGCATGCATGTGCATTTTTGTAGGACAAGCTCTATAGCTGTCTTCGTTTGCACAAGGATGCAGGACAGCAAAAGGGTTAAAACTCCCAAAGATGCATTATAAATTTAAAAACAAAAGGGGAGGGGTGCCTGGGTGGCTCAATCAGTTGAGCATCCAACTCTTGATTTCGGCTCAGATCATGATCTCACAGTTCATGAGTTTGAGCCCCGCGCAGAGCCTGCTTGAGATTCTCTTTCTCCCTCACTCTCTCCCCCTCCCCTGCTTGCACGTGCCCCCTCTCTCTCTCTCTCTCAAAATAAACAAACATTAAAAACAGTAAAAAAATAAAATAAAAAATATAATTCAACATACATGTAATTTTAAATTGTACTACATGCTTTAATCTCTCTTTGATGAATCAGCAGTGTTCTGGATATTATGTAACACCAATGAGTTATTTTTCAATAATTAAATTATTTTTTAACCATTTTAATGTAAAATATGAAGGAGTTTAACCCTTTAAAAAAATTAAAAGACACTAACTACGTAATCATTTAACCTGCAACAATTATCACTCCCACGAAACAAAAACATTCAAACGATAATGCTACTTGATATAAATGTATACGTGGCGAGTCATTCATTCCTATAAGTGAAAATATTTTTACCCAGCCACGACTAGCATCCTAGCATTAGCTGGGATGTTTTACAGGAAAAGAGAAACTCCCAGGGCCCTATGTCCTAGCACTCTATCGCAAGAACTAAAAGAAGCAAAATAGATTAGGGGCTCTCAGAAGTGCAATGTTTTGGATACTCCTCTAAGAAATCGGATTCTATACTCAGTTATTGGCTAAAACAGGTATCCTTTCATAAGATAATGAACAGCAAATGAAAGGTCTGCTTCTGGAAACACTGTAACATCTAAAGCTGTTTGAGGTTAATCAAACTGCTTTCCAAAAATGGAGGATTTTGATGGGAGGCAGGGTATGAAAAACAAGTAAGTTAGGGACATAAAGCATTCTTGAAGAAATAGGCTAGGGAGCCACAGGCAATGTGCCACATTATGTGGCACAAAAAGGCGGAGAGCTGCAGGGTCCCAAAATTTGAAAAAGAAAAAGACAAAAAAGGAGAGGTGGACAGCAAAAACATGATATAAGTATTTTGGTTATCCTCTCCCTTCCTCTGGACTCAAATACTAGAAAAGTAAGCACAAACAGGGTTCCCTTTACTTCTCCCATTTGCTCACAGAGCAAGCAGACATTATGTTATCAATAACAAGCAAGCATGAGTCCCATACTATTAAGCCTGGAAGTGTTTTATGGCCTGCATACATTTATAATATTTAGCAAGAACAGACAATGAGAACAGAGTAAATGTGTCTCACGTTTAAAAACAGCTGTACGCTATTTCTTAAAATCTGAGACAAAGCTAAAATTAAACTTCTTCATCAGTGTTACCTAGAAAAATATAATCAATGTTATCTGTTTAAGGCAAAAAAACGTACATACCTGTCTAGCCAGCTCTCTAAAGCAAAAGGAAATGTAAGGCTTTCAAAGATAACTGCTATAAAATTTCAAATTCCTAAGAAGGCAGCAATGACCTTGTCTGCCTACACAAATGAGGACATATTACATACCTCTGATGAGTCATTAGTAAAATCAATTCCGATGATACAAAGATCTTTTAATATATATTGTTTCCATAATCTTTCAGAAATTCTCAGTTTTCATGATGAATGTGATCATAATTGAAGAAGAATGTAAGTATCTACTGTCCTTTTAGCAACAGGACTGACAGACTTCAGCAAGAATAAAAAGCTACAACTTGTTCAAGACTGAATATAAAGCTTGGGAAATGAAGTGTTTGCTACCAAAAAGAAGACAGCTGCGTGCTACAGGTCGTATGTAATCATTATTACTATGGAGAGGAAGTTTTAAGTCAAGAAGTACAAACGCTAGAGTGCATCAAATGGCCTGTATGGCACTAAATTTAACATTTTTAAAAGAAATTTTAATGAAAACTCTAGCAAACAATATATAACAGAATAAACTTCTTTCCATTTACCTAAATTTGAGTTACATGAGGGTAATTTTCCTCCACAGAACTAGTTATGTACATCTGGATGTAGTATTTAAGATTGCAGCCCCATATTTGCAAAATAAAGTTGCTCTACATAATATAAAAAAGGCGCAGCTGTGGATTGTTCAGGGACATCTCAGTGGTAATACTAATGAAGTTGATCTTTTCCTCAACACAAAAAGTGCTATTTCGTCTGACTCCCTTTCTTGCAGTATGTTGAAGGATGAGTTCTATCAACAGAAATAAAAAGTGTAACTAAAGTTATATAAGATAGATCATTTAAAACTTTACCATCTTGCTAGTAGTAAAGACATTATCAATATACTTTAAAATATACTTTAGTTTCAATATGTTGTGATAAAATTGATGAGATTCATTTTAATTTAGTATCTCAGAAGAAACAGAGAAACATATTATCATTGTAATAACAGATGGTTTATTACTACTCATGACTTTTTTATTTAGGGACTGGATCCAACTAAACATATCTGATAGAGATATAAAATACATATGAATATATAATAAATATAGCTCCCCAAGGCTTTCATTATATACATATGATTTAACAACATTGTCAGAAAAAAACATGATTATGCTGTCTAATAACAACTTAAAATTAATAGTCATCAATGTTATAAAAACAGCTATCATTTTGTTCTACATTATCATTTGCTATTTTAGAATATATTTGCTGATTAGCAAAAACTTTCAGTGACAAGAATTAGCAACATTATCAAGTGCAAAAAGTTTTAAAATTATACCTTCTATCAAGTCAGGTGGACCTTTATTTGCAGTAATATAGCTTATTCCTGAATTCAGCAGGCTAATTAGAGGCCACCAGAAAACACCCGCAATTGGAAGAGGATCATAGTCATCGCACCTTTATAAGCGAATTCCCAGAATGGGCATATATTAAGATTCAAGGGGGAACAAAACCCGAAGATGAGAAAAAATCACCAAGGTGGAAGTATGCAAGTCTATGTTGAACAGTATGATGGTGCGGGGAACACAGACTTTGGGAGAAAGTAAAGTCAAATGAAAATATTTAAGAAATAAATACTTAATAACTTCTCGCTCCAACCTTAATGTTTAATATTTCCCTTTCTGCTAAAACAGAAATCATCAGTTTTCTTTTTTTTTTTTAATGTTTATTTATTTTTGAGAGAGAGAGAGAGAGAGAGAGAGAGAGAGAGAGAGAACGAACGCGAGCAGGGGAGGGGCAGAGAGACACAGAATCCAAAGCAGGCTCCAGGCCCTGAGCTGTCAGCACAGAGCCTGATGCGGGGCTCGAACCCATGAACCATGAGATCACGGCCTGAGGTGAAGTCGGACGCTTAACCGACTGAGCCACCCAGGTGCCCCATCATCAGTTTCCAATAAAACATCCCTCTTCAGACTTACGTACCACTGATTTCAAACTTCTCTAGATTTAACAGTCTTCACGCAGTCGTTTCCACACAAAGTCTTCACAGTCTACATTAACAAAATACTCTGACCACATAAAAATAAGATGTTTCTCCCATCTCCCCACGAAAGAGTACACTTCAAGTTCACTCCACAATAATAAAATGTACATATGTGTATTTAATAAAATAGTTTGTAAATATGAACTCAACGAGAACATCTTTGTGTCTCTAAGCATGAGCCACAGGGGCGGGCATGCAGCAGATAAAGACAGGATTTCATCAACAACATCATTTTGCATTTCTAACATCTCTAAAATACGACTACATCTTACAATGGACAGTGAAGCATAACTCAACTGGCAGAGCTTTCTGAATCATACATAAATAATGATGCCTTTTACAAATGTTGTTTCAGATTAAATGGATTAATGACTGTTAAATTTAGTCAAATTGAATTAAACCAAGGTAAAGGTGTAATGGTGTGTTCACCATATTAACTCTCAGAAAACTGAAATCCATGTTTTTTTCTTTTCTATGTAATTCTGTTTAAAAGCTTGTATTATTATACAGAATTAATTAGCTTATTCCTCAATTATCTTTTTTTTTTTTTAACCTTAATTATCTTCAAAAACCACCAAAGTACTATGTCTTTGGGGTGTTTAATTTTTTTTTTACATTTAAAGTAATTATTGATCGGAAAGGTCTTATTACTGCCATTTTGGTAACTGTTCTCTGTCTTGTAGCACTTTTGTCCTCCTTTGTATTTCATTGATTTTTTTGTGTGTAGTGATATACTCTGATTCCTTTCTCATTTCCTTTTGCAGGTATTTTCTTTGTGATGACCATGGAGTTTACATAAGACAACTTACAGTTACAACAACCTATCTTAAGCTGATAATACCACATACAAAAACTATACTTCTACTCCTCCTCACATACACTTTATGCTGTAATTTGTATCTTTATATTGTGTATTCATTATTATTTTATACTTTTGTCTTTTTTAAATTCTATAACCAGAATTAGAAGTGATTTATATACCAGGGGTACATATTAAAATATTCTACATTTGTTTATATAGTTACCTTTCCTAGCCTATTTTATACTTTCATATGCTGTCATGTTGCAGGTTAGCATCTTTTTTTTTTTTTAAGTTTTATTTATTTAAGTAATCTCCATACCCCACGTGGGGCTCAAACTCACAACCCCAAGATCAAGAGCCACATGCTCTTCTAACTGAGCCAGTCAGACGCCCCTTAGCATCCTTTTCTTAACTTAGTCTTCGGAATCTTAAGACCATACTTATTTTATAAAACAGCCAAGCCAAAACATATGCATCCATGTTGTGTGGCAATTATAAATCAGAACTGAGCTTCTAAGACTTAGGGTACTGAAGGAGCTATGTTTCTGAAACCAATAAAGTAGTTCCAGTCCATTAAAATCTTCGCTAATTTTAATACCTACCAGTTCCTTTGCTTAGATATGGAGGCTTAAAGAACTTGACAACACCATAGACATTGACGATTGTACCACCCTTAAGTTGATTCAGGGGTGTATATATATAATGTGTTGTTGGAACCTAAGAACGAGAAGACAGTAAATATATATAGTGTTTAGAATGATGTTTTGATTAAAATTTTAAATTAACAAATCCATCTAATTGCATTTTTTTTTCCTTTTAAGTGTCTAAAAAGAGGCTATAGCCTGAAAAAAAGGATATACACAGTTTATAAAGGTTACTATATAAACCACCCAGTTTTTCTTAGAAAGAACTTTGATTATAAATAATGCAATTTGTATACAATTCTAAGAAATGCAGTTTAAGAGATTTGGGTTCTGGATTTTAATCTTAAGTAATAACAAAACTTGTGATATGTATTTCTTTTTTCTTTTCCTATACACTATAAAGATTTTACTTAGGCCTAAATAAAGCCAGGTTTTCATTATAAATGGTATAAAGACATTAAAAATGGTAATAACAGAGGGGCACCTGGGTGGCTCAGTCAGTTAAGCCTACGACTCTCGGTTTGGGCTCAGGTCATGATCTCACCGTTTTGTGAGTTCAAGCCCATCCGGCTCTGTGCCGGCAGCATGGAGCCTGCCAGGGATTCCTTCTCTCCCTATCTCTCTGCCCCCCCTCCACTCACACTGTCTCTGTCTCTCTCAAAATAAATAAACTTAAAAAAAAATTTTTAACGGTAATAATAGAAACAAAAATTTTCTTTAATAATTGCACAGAAGTTTAGAAAGAAAAGGGAAACTGATTTATAAGGACATGTCTGCGTATTAGTAAAATAATCCTTAAAAGCAGTCAGACATCTAGTCCCATCACCCATCCATCCTATCCACAACTGGAAATAAGGTTATCTACCACACTACTGAGTTAAACTTTTAAAAATCAAATCAAAACAAGTTAATTGACTTTTTCAAGGAAACTGATATCTCAGTTCAACACAAGAAAAGGCAGCGCTTAGAAATCTCATCAAACCTTGGGCGCCTGGGTGGCGCAGTCGGTTAAGCGTCCGACTTCAGCCAGGTCACGATCTCGCGGTCCGTGAGTTCGAGCCCCGCGTCAGGCTCTGGGCTGATGGCTCAGAGCCTGGAGCCTGTTTCTGATTCTGTGTTTCCCTCTCTCTCTGCCCCTCCCCCGTTCATGCTCTGTCTCTCTCTGTCCCAAAAATAAATAAACGTTGAAAAAAAAAAAAAAATTAAAAAAAAAAAAAAGAAATCTCATCAAACCTTGATAGAGAAAAAGGTGTAGCCCATCAATGATGAAAGAAAAATAATGATCAGCATACGGGACAGAAAAGAGAAGATATGTGCTCAGCTGACAAAATAACTAGACCCAAAATATCATCTTCAAAAGTTATCTCCCTAACATATAGATGAATGGGGTAGGCCAGCACAGCTCAATGACATCAACCATTCCGGCCATCCCTGTAATGTGCTTGTTAATTCATGGACAACAAACAACTTCTTGATTATAATTTGACTTTCCATGTAAAGAAGCCAGTATATTGTGTACAGCATCTAAGTTATATTCGAAGAGTTCAGAATACCTGGGCTCTCTGAAAAAGCATTTTTGCCAATTTCAGAGGCTCTTTTGTTTACTTCTTCCTTATATACAGGCTCATGGATGTATCAAATATTTGAAGCTAAGCAATCTAAAACAATTTTCACAAATACTAATACCTGGGGCTAATTCATGCTTTTAAAAAAGTATATCGACCCTTTAATTGGTTACCGTTTCCCTAAATAACAAATTTAAATTATTCTACCATATAGTATTATTCAGAATATAAAATCTATATCCCATAATCATTGTTAACTAAGACAAAGTCCCTGAACTCTGTCCATTAGAAACAAAAGGTTTAAGAACACAGGTAGAAGGTAAACTTTACATTAAACTTCATCAATATATTACCTTTTATCCAGTCTCACTCAGCTACATGTACCTTACATATAAAAATGGGAACTTTCCTACAGCTATAACAACATTTTATAAAATACTAAAAAAATAAAAATAAAAAATGTATCACAAGTATAATAAAATCCTTAAAATTAGGGGCCGCTGGGTGGCTCAGTCAGTTAAGTGTCTGACTTCGGCTTAGGTCAGGATCTCATGGTTTGTGGGTCTGAGCTCCGTGTCAGGCTCTGTGCTGAAAGCTCAGAGCCTGGAGCCTGCTTTGGATTCTGTGTCTCCTCCTCTCTCTGCCCCTCCCCTGCTTGTGCTCTACCTCTCTCTCTCAAAAATAAATAAACGTTAAAGAAAAAACTTTTTAAGTAAAAAAAATTTAAATTAAATTATTTGTCAAATCGCAACTTGGCACCTGATAATCTGCTTATAAATATAGCTGATGATGAAACAAAAGAATTTGCCTGAGGTTTGAAAGTAGTACTAATCTAATAAAACATATACAATAAATAAATAAATAAATGGATGGATGGATGGATGGATGGATGGGGGCACCTGGGTGGCCCAATCAGTTGAGCGTCCAACTCAGTTTCTGCTCAGGTCATGGGATCAAGCCCCACGTTGGGCTCTGTGCTAAGATAAATTCTCTCTCTCTCTCTCAATCTCTCTCAGGGTGTGTGTGGGGGGGGGAGTATTTATCCCATTATCTTCACACAATAAAACTTCTTTTCCATTTTAATTTTCTTGTATGTGTAGCTTATACAAAATATCAGTAGATATTCCAGACAATAGAACAACCAGGTATTAATTACCAGGTAAATACATAACTCAAATTTAACATTATTAGATATCAAAAATGTAGAGATTATGTTTTCCCACTGTATTGATAGTATTTTAAAATCAGACTGTAAAGTGGATCAAAAAAATGCATATATGTATGCATATACATGTGTGCATTTTTATGTGTGTGTGAGTGGGAGATGTGTGCATACTCTATATTAAACTGCATGTCATCTTACCAAAGACATTGATTCTGTAGAAAAATCTCTTACGGATTTAACATAAACCTGAAAACAGAAAGAGGATTTATTTGTATACAAATAACCTCCAATGTGATTGCAGACCTTTAATTGCAATAAAGCTACACACTTAACTGTATAATACTCAAATTCACTAGAATAGCATAAAATTATGTCTTACAAATTAAGACTGACACATGTAAAGTTGTCTAAGCTTAGCTTAAGTCTAATTTATCAATTTGAAATATCACAGGACCACCCCTAGCCTATACAAGGCCCTTCCGGACACCAGAGAAAACAGGCAGATAGTGGCCTGCAGGCACATGGCTTGGCCCAACTCTACTTCTCTGACAGCCTTGACCAAACAGGTAGTCTCTGTGTGTGTGCACACACAATAGAGGCTGTGGGGGGAGGGGTGAAGCAGGAGGTAGAGAATGGGCATCTTCATAAAGAGTAAGATAAATGGAAATCAGTTTTACCTAAAAAGGAGCACTTGATAAATTTAAAGCAAAATCAAGTACACCATCAAGAGTCTGATGGTATAACTGCAAAGAATAATATCAGGTCTAGAGTACCTATGAAGTTTTAAAAATTCCATTAATAAATAATTAACTTTAAAGGATCTTTCTTTTCTACCTGGAGTGATTCTAAACATAAAGCCAATAAAAGAATTTCTATTTTTTAAACTTAAAATATTTAATTAACAAAATTCAGACTAAATTGTTTATCTACAGATTTATAGAAATACTACTCCTATTCTATCACCTGAACTCATGATATGATTAGACTAAAAATTACACACTTACATAAACAGTTGATCTGAAGTCCTCAAATGCTTTCAAAAATAAGCAATGTTTACCGTCTCTGCCTGTAGATGAAGACGCTGACAAGACAGAAAATCCAGCCACTGCAATGGTGTCCTACATAGAAAAAAAATGGTTTTAAAACATCAAAGTATCTGTAATTCTGAATGTCATATAAATTTTTATTTTTATTATTATTTAAAAACAGGAATGATTTCTATAAAATGGAAAACTTTTTATAGGTTAGCCTACACGTTTAATGTTTTCTGAATATAAGATTGAGACTATCATTTCCTCTGAAAGGGCATCAAAAATGTAGCCAAATGTGCAATGTCCTAATTCATGGACCAGGAAAACACCAACTAAATCACTTGAAAATTGCTATTTAGTGAGAGTTCAAAAATCAATGCTTACCTCAATTTGTATAAGTTTGCACAAATAATGAAGAGACAAGAGATGAACCAAGAGTAATAAGAATGAAATTTAAATGAAACTAAATATCAGAGTTGAGAGACTACATTGAGAAAGACATTTCATTAGTGTAAAAACTCCACACTGTCACAAAGCTAACGTATGTACATATAAATCCAGAATATGAAAATAAATAAGAAATTTCCATTTATATACTAATATGAAAAAAATATTTTCTTTCTACTTAGGTTTATAATAGTAATAAGAAGCCAATTCCCATTTATTCCTGCCTCTCTCATTCTTTAGTTAAACCGCCTTATTTTCTAAATACTGGAACATATACATTCAACATGTTTTATATTTATGCATTATATATATTATTCTACTCTTCTAATTTTAACACCAAAATCTGAAGATACATAAAAACTCCTGGGCTTCAGGCAGCTTCCTTCAATAATCTTAATTTCCACCAAATGGAAGCCTTCTGCATTACTGACTTTTGCTTTGTACATACAAGAAAGGGTCCCGTGTCAATCCCAGGATTCTCTACTTAGACCTATTAAACAAGACTGTGAACACCTTGAAGACAGGGGTCATGTGTTATTCTGCTCTGTATTTATAGAGCTTGGCCCAAAGTAGGCCCTCCATGAACAAATTGAATCAAAGTATAGACCTTATATTGCCTTTCTAAGATCTCTAGCTCTATTCAGATATTTTAAGTCTGAAAATTTCTGCATTTTTTCCATTCTTTACATCAGACTGCAAACATAATTGTCTGTGTTGATAATGCTAAATAAACACAACTCTTCATAGTTAAATGGGAGAAAATTATCCTCACTGAATATTCTTTATGTTTTTACCATGTTTTTAGGCAGTTTTAATGGGAAATAAAATAAGCAGTAAGATTGCTTCTGGAATAAATTACTTTTATAAACTGAAAAATATGCAATGCTTTCAACTTCAGACCAATATATTCTGATTTAAATGAAAACTTACGACTTTAGTCTAAGATTTAAAGTTGTTTAATCAAACTAACACAGGAAGATACACAGAAGTAGGGAATCATTGATTTATCAGTTCTAAATTCTCTTAAAAGCACAAAAACTAACCTATCTCATGTCCTTTGCTATTTTACTTGAAAATATCTTAAATATTATATGAAAAGAAATCTACTAAATACAAGTGTTAGTGCTACGGATGAATATTTTTCTATTTTTATGTATAAACTTAAGAATAATGAATATTTAATAACGAAAACATTTTAAATAGAATACATCATTAAAAGCAGGACATTAGCATTAGTAAGAAAAAATTTTTCAAAAGTAATTCTACTTTAACATTAGCAATACAATTCAGTAAAAGGTTATAAGAAAACTTTTCTTCTAGGACAAAATCAACATAGAATAACAACCAAAATTCTTTAAGAAAAACAATGTGTTTATTTACTATATTTAGAAAGATGAACTTATATTTGAATATATGTATATACACACACACAAACTGCTAAAGGCCCTCAGAGATCTCATCCCCACCAACATGGCCTGTTTTATTTCCAGATACGTCTATACAATACCACACAAATCAGATTCTCTTATATGCCTACTGCTTTTTCACATACATTCTTTGCTTATCCTGAGCCCCCACTAATAATAAATAGCATTGTTCTCTTTTGCATATGGCTGATCCTATCTTTTAAAGCCTGGACTGTAAATGCTTCTTTTCTTATGTGGTCTATCCTAGATTGTCTGAGAAAAAAAAATTCACCCTTCTTCTGAACTCAACTTATGCAGTATTTTAATTTTTTTTCACTTGTGTGTTATTTACAAAGATTTCTTAATGTTTGTAATGCTCTTAGAAGTCTGTAAGATCCCTGGGACTAAGAATGTCTTATCTACCTACATATCCCATACAAGCGACTGAAGGGGCTTCTGTTCATAGCGAGTGCTCAAAAGAGTATATGTTAAATAAATTAATTAATACTGGTAAAATTAAAGTACAAATCTAAACAAAAGAGGGGAAAAAATGAACAGTTCTTAGAATCCAGTTCCCATGAATTACAAATCATAATAGCTTTTAAATTAATTCAAATGCACAGAGGATAAGAAAGATAAACATATAATAGGCAGTATTAGTTTGTATAAACATTCATTAGATTGAGCTGAAAATGAGATTTAATATGCATTGTTCTAATTTCTAAGCTTCTGAAAAGAGCATACTGAAGCCATTCAAACAAGAATAGGAATTACACAGTTCAGTGCTAAGAGTGTATACTGATATACAAAGCAGGTATTTATCTCCATCTGCTGAAAAAAGTATTAGGAGGCAGCCAGCCTGAGAAGAATACCATATGACTTAATGTGGTAAGGCTTTATCAGTATCTGTGCATGAACACGCTAAAAATAAAAACACATTTGGTATACCTGAAATCTTTTAACCTACTCAGGATACTCAGATATCAACAAGTGGGTCATTTCCCTTTTGTGTGTGACCTACTCTCTCACAGTGCCTTAAAAGGAGTCAGCCTTTGTTATTAAACAATTTCCTTTTGGGTTTAGCCAATAAGAATACATCTACTGCAAACCAGTTTCACAGAAAGATCAATGAAATCAGCACAGGAGTTTTTTAACATCAAGAAGTGTTTTTTAATAATCAACAGTAAACCTAAAAAGAAAAAAAAAAAATCAGGCAACTTATTTGCATATTAACAAATGTGATTTTTATATGCCAATATCTTATAATCAGTGGTGGAATAAGAAATTAATATGTGACTAACAAAAATGTAAACTACAAGACTAGTGAATTAATTTGCTAAGTTTTAATAGATGGTATATCCAAAATTCTCAAGCTGTTACACTTACTGAGTAGAAAATGGACAGAGAAAATATGAAAAAATTGATAGTCCAAAAAGAAAAACACTTATTCAATAGGCATTAAGTAATTTTTACTATAGTGACCTTGCAAATCTTGTTATCATACCTCAAAACACCATTAAAGAAGGAAAGAGTACAGGGAGAAGCCAGGAATCTGACGTCATTGGTAGGGTAGTGACTGACAGAAAATGTTTTTCTAATATAAGACACATATTTCATGAGCATTAACATCTATTTGGTCACATAATGCCAAGAACTTAATTGGAAGTAATATATGTCAGATTGGCATAAAACCCAAAATCTTTAAATGGTTTAGAAACCACTGTATGATCGGATGCCCACCATCTCACCAGCCATATATTGTTGTGACACACTCTGGAATTCTGCCTTCTCATGATACTTGAATATTCCAAGATCCTCACTCAGGGCCTTTGTATACGCTGTTCTTTCTGACTAACCCACTCTCTTGGTACCCACCTTCCTTCTTTCTGTTACTTTTCTCATTCTACTACTCAATCTTCTTAGTTATGTATCATATCTGGATAAAATAATCACATAACAGTTGTTTAAGTCCCTCTACTCCACTGAGCACTTTCCCACGATGCAAGGTCCATAACCCTCTTATTCAGTTAAGATGTTTCTGACATCCGGTACAGAAGACCAAAAACACTCAAGTGTTTGGACAACTAAATGAATAATCAAATACGTGGTGGGGGAGGGAGATATATATATATAAAACCCTCATTAAATAAACTGTGCAAGTACTACAAAACTTACTGCATAGAATCTTAGCATCTCACAACTGAAAACAGGACTTTAGAGATCATATAGTCAAACATGTTCATTTTTCAGATAAGAAAATAAGGATCAGAGAGGATAAGTCTAAGGTCACATCCAGCTAATGAGTTGTAGATTAAGACAAGAATCCCGATCTCCTCACTATTCTACATCTTTCAGAACTAAATCTCACAGGGATGGATAAACAATGTACTGATAAACATCTATAATTCTGATGGTTTTGTGACAAAATTTTTTTTAACTTTCAAAATACTTTGAAAGTCTTTCCTCATATTTTATATGCATCTATTAAATGTTAAATCTCACTTTAAAGGAAAGCTTAAACTCAAAAAAAATGCCTCAAATGGAGAGAGGTTCAGTTACTGTATGTGTATTCCTACAAAATGTATCATTAGTTTAGCAAAGCAAGGATTATAGTTTTGTTAAAATTCATTTTAATGTTTTAGGATTTTTGTTATAATCAAATATGGAGCTAACCTTAAGGGAATAAGCAAGTGACAAATGAGAAAGGCTTAAGAATTGAATTAGAAAATCCATTCTTTTATGCAAAAAGTTTTACTTTTGATTTTCAACAATTTTTAACCTTAATACTACAAACTCTAAAATAAATAGCCTAATTAGACCTCCCAAATGATCAGCATTCATGAATTTAAACCCAGAAAGATTTTAAAGTAAACTGTGACCTCAGACTTCTCACCATTGTACTTTAAAAAGGAGAAACTCTGACTTATCATTAACATCCTCTGTTATCTGACAAGTACTAATTAGCTAGTGTAGTTCATTCTATTTTAATGAATACCTGTTTAAAATATATTTCAACTGCAGAAAACACCTTTCATATGCCTGTTAGGTAAAATACTAATATCTCATACATTGTGCATGTTTTGTAGATGCACTGCCCATGTTCTGCTAATCCATTATATTAGAACTCTTTTGTTTCCAAATAGGAATTTAATTTAAAAAACTTAAAGAAGAAAGATGAAAATGTCTTTAAAATATAAACAGATCCAGGCATCTGGGTGGCTCAATCGGTTGAGC